TCTTCCCTTATCTCTTGATTACAAATGGGTTTTGTTTTTATTCTTTAATTTGTTGATTGGTTACTAGTCTGGAGATTACGGTTGAGGTTTTCGTTTACCTTGTTTGGTCATTTTTTGATCTGTATTGGCTTATGTAGAATTTTATGGCTTGGCATTTTGGGTTGAGATGCTGAAGTTAGTGGAATGGAGGGGCTGAAGATTTAGCTTTAGGTTTTGTTGTTAAGCCCCTTTCTTAAAACCCTAGTCTGCTCTGATTAGTGAAAATGATAGTTTCTTTTTTTTAAATATATAAATTTTCATGAGTTACAAAAGTAAAAGCGTAAGTATCTCTTTCTCTAATAACAGCGAAGGTTTTTATTTTTTTATTTATTTTAAATGGAATTTTTTTATAGAGCAGTCGCTTCTTAAAATTGGGGAAAGCAGGTTTTCTGGGTTTCATATTGAACAATTATATTACTAATTACTATTACTTGTAATATACCCAACTTCCAAGGTGACATTTATAGTAGTGTGTGAAGGTGCTGCGTAAATAAATTGTAATGTTTGGCAATAAGGGAAAAAAATGGGGTTTACTAGGGGAAGTAAAATATGTGAGAGTGATACACTACTAGAATTGTTATTGAATATGTAGTTAGGTTCTTGAGATACAATTAGGTTTTTTCTGTGAATGTTTGTCTTGAGTGTTTTGAGATGTATGTTTAATTTCATGTTTGCTATATTTATCTCGGTGGCAGCAATTTTCTTTAGCATCTTATCCTAATTCCATGTGCCAGTCAAATATTGAAGAATATCCACTTAATTTTGTTGTCTAATCATGTAGCTATCTCTACAAGCTTTGAATTCTAGGGTGTAATGATGAATTTTTGGCAGGGTTATTTTGTAGACAAAAGAATGATGTAAAATAGTGGTTAGAATCTGTTCTTTGTAATGAAACATTAATGTTTATTGCTTGAATATGTCTGGCAGTGTCTCTGAAGCCAGAAACTTTTGAAGGATTGCGATTCGATTTCACCAAAGGACTAAATCAGAAATTCTCACTGAGCCACAGGTAGCTTCTACTTCTTTGACTATTTGACCTTTTTGCTTTATTTTTTATTTTTTTGATATTTTCTTATGTCTTTTCTGTATTAATTAATAATGGTATTATGCATTCCCTATCATCTCAGTGTGTTTATGGGCCCAACAGAAATTCCTTCTCAATCTGCCGAAACCATTAAAATTCCTACTGCTCATTATGAATTTGGTGCCAACTTCATTGACCCAAGTGTAGGTGGCTGCTTTCATTCTCTTCCAGTATCACCTTCCTGTCCTCCTAAATTATTTTGTGTTAGCAAGTCAATCTGTAAGTGGGATCAATTATGGGTTTATGCAGTTGATGCTTATCGGGAGGGTGCTGACTGATGGTAGACTCAATGCCAGAGTGAAATGGGATCTGACTGACAATCTTACCGTGAAGGCTAATGCCCAGGTAGATCATGTTCTCATTTGTTCGTTAATCTTTGGCTTTCCTGTTTTCTGGCAGAATATATGGTTTTTCACATGTAAGCTAGTTGATAACTTTGTTGTTTCCTGTTCCAGCTTACTAATGAGCCTCATATGTCACATGGCATGGTCAACTTTGATTACAAGGTCAGTCACTCCTAAACTATATTATATCTTGGCTAGTTGGCTTTGGTTTGTGCATGTATTTTTGTTTGTGTCATTGTGAGTGTGACACCTGATATTCTGATATTTTCTTTTGAGTTAATTCATCATCTGGGGAGCTATTTTTGTGCTTGTAAACAAATTTGTTCAGTGGCTTGCTGCCATGAACTATGAGCTTGCTTTTTGTCTTTTGACATTTTTCTTTCCTTGTACAGGGTAAAGACTACAGGTCTCAGTTGCAAATGGGAAATGGTGCCTTATTTGGAGCTAGTTATATCCAGGTAAATTGTATGAAGCCACATTACATCTGCTGAGTTAATCTGAGAGGTGTAGAACTCAGCATAATGGACAAGTTATTGGATGATCTGTACCTAACGAAAAATGAATTGTACAATACTTTGATGCAAAATCATGTGGCCTTTGTGGTTTCTCTATGCATTTGCAAATCCTAAGATGCGTGCTTGTTAAAAATTGACATGAAGATAGAATTGTATCTGCCAGTTAAACTAATCACAGGTGATGCCTTCCCAAAAGGATTACTCTCTATTGTGTTGTCAAGTGACAATAAAAATAGTAATATCCTGCTAGAAGTTTTCCTATTATTTCCGTTTATGTGTGTTTGTGACCGTGTTACCCTGCCAATCATGCTGCAGGATCAGTCATCTCAATCACTATGCAAATGCTTTTTCTTGAAGAATATACAACATGAGATGCAAGCTTTCTCATTTATGTCAATATGTTGTTTGTGGAGATGCTATTCCTTATCTTCCTTTTTCTTAAATGAAAAAAAAATAGTATAAGATATATTAATTAACGATAAAAGCAACCTAGACTTCCTTTGCCGAACGCCTTCTGCATTTGCATTTTGTTTGCTGTTTTAAAGAGGCACTGATAGCATCTCATTGACCTAGATTGACATGCCTTATTGTTTTATTGCTCTCTGTCTGAAAGTTCTATGAGTAATTTCATGTTCTTCCAACAATTGATAACTGATCGTGGCCCTTGTCGTTGTTGTTTATTTGTGAATTAAATGATTTATAATAGCCCTTGTCATCTCTTTCTATTTTGGATGGTTCTGCTTACGAAGTATGTAGTATTTGGCTTGTTAGGGCTATTTCTTGTAGTTACAATCATGATCAATCTTCTGCCAAATCCACTACTTCTGCAATTATGATTGTGTTTGTTGTTATTAATTATGCCACATTTGTGCAGAGTGTGACACAACATTTATCCTTGGGTGGTGAAGTATTTTGGGCTGGTCAGCACCGAAAGTCTGGCATTGGTTATGCTGCCCGATATGATACAGATAAGATGGTAATGTGTCCTGGTTTCATCCTTTATTACTAGCTTGTCAATATTTATTCGTGCAATAGTTAGTGGGTGTTGTTTATTACTTTCTAAATATGTTTCTAAGTCCGTTACAAAGGTAGGGATGTCAAATAGATTTCCCTAACCAAAATGCTGAATGGGGTTGCCAAGTTGTGAGAATCAGGTTGTCTTTTCTTTTCAATGACTTAAGACTTTTCAAAAATATGGAAGTAATGGACCAAGTCATTGGAATCAAGGACATGGTGTAATGCTGTCTTTCTGAAAGGTGAAGCTGAATGTGCATACAAAACTAGTTTGTACAAAGGTTAATGTTTGGCGCTCTGCTTCTAGGTCAAGTTTTGATGATTTTGTGTCTGTGCCTGTTCGCACATGTTATAGGCCCATGAAAAGATCTTAGTTCAGGTCTTTAAACTTCTGTTCAGTAAGTTTCTAGATCTTCAGAAATAATGTTTCTCTGGTCCCTGGGTAGCTGATCGGAAATGCTAATTCTAAAGCTGAGTTTTAATCCATACAATAGTTAATTCACTTCTCCAAGACCATATTTTTATCTTAGCTTCTCCAAGAGGAATATGTTGTTGGGATGGAATTGAAATGTTATTGGTAGAATTATTCTCTGTTTGCTTTAGGCACAAAAAACCAACCTAAGCACTCTTTGCCTGCAGGTTGCCACAGGGCAAGTTGCAAGTACTGGAATGGTTGCTTTGAGCTATGTTCAGAAGGTATCTGAGAAGGTAAGAACTCTGTCCTCCTAAAAATGTTAGTGATTTTTTTTCCTAGTCATTCTTACACATTTATTTCTGTCAAGGTTTCTCTTGCATCAGATCTCATGTATAACTACATGTCAAGAGATGTAACAGCAAGTGTCGGCTATGACTACATCCTTAGACAGGTAAGTTTTGGGCTGCTAGATTATCAATATTAATGCACATTGATTTTTTGCATGTCTATACACATTAGAATTTAAAATTTATATTGTTTTTATGCATCCATGTTACCATCTCAGTATCATCAAAAAAGAACTTTATAAAGCTGTCTTCTGTTTCCTCACTTTGAGAATTTTGGGTGGTGTAATACAATAGACCTCTTACATGCTGTTATTATTAATTTTGACGGAGTTAAATAAAGGAGTAGACCGACGGCAGTGCTAGGAAACATGACCAACCACAATGAGGTGATTGGTAAGACATCCAAAGAAGCAAAGCTATCTTTGAGGAAGTCTTTTTGTTATGAAGTTTGTTGACATCAGTGGGTAGATTTGTTTAGAGGTTGTATTCTGACAAAATTGTTCTACTAACTAATAAAAAAAAGTCTAACTGAACCATCATTCTGTTCAATCAATTTGTCATGTTTTCAGTGTCGCTTGAGGGGGAAGATTGATTCAAATGGATGCACAGCTGCTTATCTCGAAGAGCGGTTAAATATGGGCCTAAATTTTGTTCTCTCTGCTGAGGTAAGATAACTTTTCTAGGAAAGAAATCTGTGGTTTATACACGTAAGAGAGATTTGATTAGTTGTTTTGTTTTTGCTTGTGAGTGTGATACCATTAATCGTTTTATGTTTAACATTTTTATATCTCTCCCTTGATTGATCAAAGCCCTCAAGAGTCATGTTCCTTAACATTTTTTGTGGATTTACATATTGCAGATAGATCATAGGAAGAAAGACTACAAATTTGGATTTGGATTGACTGTAGGGTGATTCAATTACACCACATAAAAGCAGTTGAAGAAGTTTCCAATTGTCACCTTTTAGCATCTGGTTGAAGATTAAAGAATTGAATGTGTACTTGAAGAGCTGATGTAGCAATTTTAACAGTCGTTGGTATCAATTTGTTCGGTTTAACGCTTCCCGTTTTCAGTTGAGAGCTGTAGCATTTGTCAAATTAGTGCAATTTGAGACGTTTAGTACTCTATTCATAAAGAAAAAATGGATTGGCTTTATCAAATTTACTTTGCCCTTTTGGGATTCACTCTTTTACCATATGAAATTAAGTAGTCTATATTCTTGGAAAAAATTTCTCACCTTCCATAGAAAGGGCCGTGCAATTTTACAAAGAATGTCAGTATGACCATTAACGGCCAGCATAAGAGATATAATTACAATTGTGACACTGCTAAGAATGTGAATGGTGTAGGTGTTAAAAGGACGCCAAGGCGGAAAGATAGGGAAAGGGTAGAAAAAATGAGCAACCGAAGGAAGAGCTCGGCAACGGCAGAAAGCGATGAGGTGGAGCAGCTGTTGCAGGCAGCGCAGGACGAGACGCTCTTAAAACTCTCAGTCGACAGCCACATGTCTCGCGTGGCCCCCGATTATCTCGACCCCAATCTCCACCGTCGGTTCCAGGCCCTCCGATCCCGACCTTCCACTTCTCAATCAAAATCGCAACTACAAAAACAATCACCAGCACCATTAAAACAACAACAACAACAGCAAAAGGAAGAGGTAAAAAAGGAGCAAAAATCGAAGGTTGTTGTTGTGGGTAATGTTGACGAGGAATTGAGGGGTGTGTTGGGTGATGATCTCTCCGCTAGATTCGCTGCTCTCAAGGCTTCTTTGTCTTCTTCTTCTGATCCTGCTCCTGCTGCTGCTACTAAGGAAGTTAGTATCGGTCTCGACAAATCCGACGGTGAAGATGAGGAGGATGAAGTTGAGAACGTGATTCGGTGGGCCATGGATGCTGCTCGCCTTGATCCTTCTCCTCCTTCTGACGATGACGATGATCACATCGATTCCGACGTAGATGATAACGTCGACGACGACGACGACGACGATTATCCCAAAAATAAAAAGAAGGAATCTAAAAGTAGTAGTACGTATTTGAATTTCCTTTTCAGAAAACTTTTTTGATGTTACTGAATTGCATTTCTTTTGATTTTTAATTTGCTACACTTTTCTTTTTGGCAGTATTTATTCAGTGATTGGTGGTTTATAGTAAGAAAGCAGGCTCTTCTGTGATGATTTAAAAGAGAAAATTCATAGGAAACGCGTCCTCTAATTGGAATTAGGGTTAACTCATGAACAAATAACTAAGATAAAAGTAATATGGATGTTTTATCAACTCTATGAGTTCAACCAAAATAAACGCTTTGGATAATTATAGAGTAATAAAGAAAAAACATATATGCATCTTTAAAGCATATAATGTAATGTTGACAAACTGTTTTGATTTCTTCTAGGGAAACGACAGTCTTGAGTCTCTTTAAAGCAGCCATGCAGCATTTTATCAGACGTCCCACCAGTGACGTTAATCCGATTTTTAAGAAACAAACTTTATCTTCAGATTGGAGGCAGTGAATACTCTCAGCCTCGGAAGACTTGTTCATTAGGTGCCTGATCATAGCCATAAATCTTTGTGTAATGTCATGATACCATGCATAATTATACATCAAACTTAATCATATTTTTTTCTCATTTTACAAAGTTCTCATTATTCTTTTTGCCTCTGGGTATTGTCCTGTTCTTGTAAAGGGCCCAGCAGATAGGTTTTCTTTTCAGATCATTCATGCATAAATTGCTACGGTTGTTTATTAGTGCAGTTGAGTACCATGTAACTTTCACAGTTGTTGAGAATCAAATTTGTTTACAAACATGACCATACACTTTGTAAGTGTTTAGTAGGCATGAAGCAATGAGGAAATGGTGATTTGTATTTGGGAGTAGATGAGCCCTTATTCTGAATAAGAGTATTCTCATCTTCCAATCGAAGGCCTAACTATAAATATGCAGAAATTATGAGACCAATGGATACTGCCATCTTTTTGGTTTCAGGTTTCTTGCTTTTGTCTTATGAATGTTTTGCTTTCCTCTGTACTTCTATTCACTTCAGATTGTACTTGTTTCTTTATTCATCCCTTTTCTCGCAAGGGATGACGCTTTTACTGTGATGAATGCGATTTAAACTCTCCAGAAGCAGGGGATGACATGCATGATTTTTATCAGAGGTACATCGCTGTCAAGTTTGATCTTGGCTGTTTATTGTGTTTGATGAGTTGTTGAGAACTGTAAATTGGTTAATATGTGATGTTGATAGATCACTTGAGACTGGTTTGGAGTTAGATGCCTTAGTAGTTACCTTTTAAGTTGAGCCTGATGGGATTTCACATCTCAATTTGTACTTAGAAGTCTGGTTATTTTCTCTAATAAGACGGCTTTACTTTTGGTTTGGATAAAACGACATAGTTGCAGTTCAATATTGTTATTGGATTTGGGTTTTTCAATTTGCCCCACGACATGTAATTTTTGATTCTTTATCTCATGGTTCGTTTGTTGGAAATTAACCTGGCTGACAATTTGATCTTTGTGATGACTGGAAACTGGCGCAAGGCAAGTTGAGTTTTTAGTCAAAAACTAGAGGTGGAAACTAGTTTCAGCCATGCAAATGTTCCAAGTTTGGAACGATCAACTGGCGAAGGTTTGCCACATAGCTGGTGGTGGCTTATTCATTGCTAGGCAACGGCCACGGCAAGAATCTCCTGCTCATCACCCAAGCGAGCCAAGGGGGGATGGATGAAGCAAAGTTACAGTTTTGGAATGAAAACAAAAAAAAAAGTGAGAGAGAGATGTATATACTAATTCTGAATTTAATATTCATAATCAAAATAAACAAGTCGGTGATATTTATTTCTAAGGATGCAGTCTGGCTGGCTCTACTAGCCATTGATGACTTGCTATAATCTTTACCTAAAAATTCGTGCCATGTGCTTCCTTGGTTATGAATCATTCGTATAAGTGCTTTCAATACATAAAAATTAAATATAAATAAGTAAATACTTATTAGTAATAATTTTATTGGTAATTTAAAAGGCTAAATGATGAGAAATAAATCTCCACCACCAAGTATGCATCTGGCGAGGAAAGTGGGCAAAGTGCAGAGCAAACAGCTCCCACAAAAACCTTTGCCTAGGAATAAGATTATTCTGTCTGTAGGAAGGAAAGTGAGTGGGTCCGTTTTCTATTTTTAATCAAAACAACTCCCATCGCCATCATATACTCTTCGACGTATCAGTCTCAAACACTAAGTTCCCTCTCGATGCTGGAACTCTGCATTTCTCAATCCCACCAGGTAACCCTCTCAACCTTTCTCCTACACCCTATTTCTCATTTACTCTACTTTTGTTAGCTGTTTTGTTCATATTTTCAAATCGTTATATTTCTCTTCTTCTTTTTCTTGGTAAGGTTTGTGAATCTTGGGTCTTTGGGTTCAGATTTTTTTTTCTTTTTTTGCTGGTGGGGCTTTTGAGTGGTAATGGGGAGTGTCAGTGCAGAGAAGGTGAGTTTTTGTATTGACAGAGGGGGCACTTTCACCGATGTTTATGCGGAGATTCCCGGTCATCCCGATGGTCGGGTTCTCAAACTTTTATCCGTTGACCCATCGAACTATGACGATGCTCCAATTGAAGGAATCCGGAGAATTCTTGAAGAATATACAGGAGAGCAAATCCCCCGAACTGCCAAAATCCCAACTGATAAAATTGAGTGGATAAGGATGGGAACAACTGTGGCAACCAATGCCCTTTTGGAAAGAAAAGGGGAGAGGATTGCTTTGTGTGTTACTCGAGGTTTCAAGGATTTGTTACAGATTGGTGACCAGTCTCGTCCCAATATCTTTGACCTTACTGCAACTAAACCATCCAATCTTTACGAGGAAGTTGTTGAAGTTGATGAGAGGATTGAGCTAGTTCTTGAACTGGACAAAGGGAATAAGGACAATTCAGAGTCGTTTCTTAAAGGGGTTTCTGGTGAGCTTGTTAGGGTTGTCAAGTGTCTAGATGAAGAAGCTTTGAAGCCTTTATTGAAGGGATTGTTGGAGAAAGGGATTAGTTGTTTGGCTGTTGTGCTGATGCATTCCTACACATACCCATATCATGAAATGGCCGTGGAGAAGTTGGCTATGAACTTGGGTTTTAGACATGTTTCTTTGTCTTCGGCTTTGACTCCCATGGTTCGTGCTGTTCCTCGGGGTTTAACAGCCAGTGTGGATGCTTATCTGACCCCGGTTGTGAAAGAGTACTTATCAGGGTTTATATCTAGATTTGATGAAGGCCTTGGGAAAGTGAATGTTTTATTTATGCAGTCGGATGGAGGGCTTGCACCAGAAAGTAGATTTTCAGGGCACAAGGCCGTTTTGTCTGGCCCTGCTGGGGGGGTTGTTGGCTACTCACAGACTCTTTTTGGTCTTGAAACAGAGAAGCCTTTGATTGGATTTGACATGGGTGGTACATCAACAGATGTGAGCCGTTATGCTGGAAGTTATGAACAAGTCCTACAAACTAAAATTGCTGGGGCAATAATACAAGCACCTCAGCTTGACATAAACACTGTTGCTGCTGGTGGAGGATCGAAGTTAAAGTTCCAATTTGGAGCTTTCCGGGTTGGACCGGAGTCAGTAGGAGCACATCCTGGTCCTGTGTGCTACCGCAAAGGTGGAGAATTGGCAGTCACTGATGCAAACCTGGTTCTTGGGTATGTTATTCCTGATTATTTCCCAGCCATCTTCGGTCCAAATGAAGATCAGCCTTTAGATGTCAAAGCAACCAAGGAAGAATTCAAGAAGCTTGCAGAGCAAATAAATTCTTACAGAAAAAGCCAAGATTCATCTGCAAAGGGCATGACAGTGGAGGAAATTGCGCTTGGGTTTGTGAATGTTGCCAATGAGACAATGTGCCGCCCTATACGGCAGTTAACTGAGATGAAGGGCCATGAAACGAGGAACCATGCACTTGCTTGCTTTGGGGGTGCTGGGCCACAGCATGCCTGTGCCATAGCTAGGTCACTGGGTATGACAGCAGTACTTATTCACCGGTTTTGTGGAATCTTAAGTGCATTTGGAATGGGATTGGCAGATGTTGTTGAAGAGGTGCAAGAGCCCTATGCTGCTGTTTATGGTCCTGAATCTGTTCTGGAGGCCTCTCGTCGAGAAGCTATATTGTTGAAGCAGGTAAAGCAGAAGCTGCTAGAGCAAGGGTTCAGAGAGGAAAATATAAAGACTGAGACATACCTAAATTTGAGGTATGAAGGTACGGATACAGCAATCATGGTAAAGGGACGTATTGCTGAAGATGGATCTGGATGTGACTATGCTGATGAATTTGTGAAGCTTTTCCAGCAGGAGTATGGATTTAAGCTACATAATAGAAATATCCTTGTATGTGATGTCAGAGTTCGTGGGATAGGAGTTGCTAATATATTGAAACCACGGGCCCTAGAGCCTGCTTCTGGTTCCCCTAAAATTGAAGGCCGGTACAAGGTCTTTTTTGGTAATGGGTGGCATGATACACCACTGTTCAAGCTTGATAATCTGGGATGCGGTCATGTCATACCTGGCCCTGCAATCATTATGAATGGGAGTAGTACAGTGATCGTAGAACCAAAATGTAATGCTATTATAACCAAATATGGAAACATTAAAATTGAAATTGAGTCTATTCTAAACACTGTGAAAGTTGCTGAGAAGGTTGCAGATGTTGTGCAACTTTCAATCTTCAATCACAGATTTATGGGAATTGCTGAGCAGATGGGCCGAACCCTGCAGCGGACTTCTATCTCAACAAATATCAAGGAAAGGCTAGACTTCTCTTGTGCTCTCTTTGGTCCAGATGGGGGACTAGTTGCTAATGCTCCACATGTTCCTGTGCATCTGGGAGCTATGTCCAGTACAGTTCGTTGGCAGCTTGAATACTGGGGTGGCAATTTGAACAAAGGAGATGTTCTTGTCACCAATCATCCTTGTGCTGGAGGTAGCCACCTTCCTGATATAACTGTGATAACACCTGTTTTTGATAATGGGAAACTAGTGTTTTTTGTGGCAAGTAGAGGACATCATGCTGAGATCGGGGGTGTTACACCTGGAAGCATGCCACCTTTTTCCAAGTCTATATGGGAAGAAGGGGCTGCAATAAAAGCATTTAAACTTGTGGAAAAGGGGATTTTCCAAGAAGAAGGAATAGTCAAGCTTCTTGAGTTTCCAGGTGCTGATGAATCTACTCAAAAAATCCCAGGAACACGGCAGCTTCAAGATAACCTGTCAGATCTTAGAGCACAAGTAGCTGCTAATCAGAGGGGAATCACTCTAATCAAAGAACTTATTGAGCAGTATGGTTTAGAAACTGTTCAGGCTTACATGACGTATGTACAGCTTAATGCAGAAGAAGCAGTGAGAGAAATGCTCAAGTCAGTTGCTGCAAGAATTTCATCAGAGTCAACTAAATTGGGCGAGAGAAACTTCCTTATGGTAGAAGAAGAGGATTGCATGGATGACGGGTCTGTTATCCATTTAAAACTCGCAATTGATTCTAACAAAGGGGAAGCACGTTTTGATTTTAGTGGAACTAGCCCTGAGGTTTATGGTAACTGGAATGCTCCGGAGGCAGTCACTGCTGCAGCAGTCATATACTGCCTTCGTTGTCTGGTGGATGTTGATATTCCACTTAATCAAGGTTGTCTGGCTCCAGTTAAAATCCATGTACCAGAAGGCTCATTCCTCTCTCCAAGTGATAAAGCTGCTGTAGTGGGAGGCAACGTTCTCACATCTCAGAGAATAACTGATGTAATATTGACTGCATTTCAGGCCTGTGCTTGTTCTCAGGGATGTATGAATAATTTGACCTTTGGGGACAATACTTTTGGTTATTACGAAACAATCGGAGGAGGGAGTGGGGCTGGTCCGAGCTGGGATGGGACAAGTGGAGTCCAGTGCCACATGACCAACACTCGAATGACAGATCCAGAAATTTTCGAGCAGAGATATCCAGTATTATTGCACAGGTTTGGACTAAGAAAGAATAGTGGTGGAGCAGGAATTCACAAAGGGGGTGATGGACTTGTGAGGGAAATAGAGTTTAGGCGCCCAGTAGTCGTTAGCATTCTATCAGAGAGGCGTGTACATGCACCTAGGGGGTTGAAAGGAGGGGCAAATGGGGCCCGAGGGGCCAACTACCTTATAACCAAAGATAAACGAAGAATCTACCTTGGAGGTAAGAACACAGTGGAGGTGCAGGCCGGGGAGATACTTGAGATTTTATCACCTGGTGGTGGTGGATGGGGCTCTTCTCTTTGATTATTTTGTCTACGGAAAGTTGAATTTGCCGTTGTAATGTCGAATGTTGACAACCAGAAGAATAAATTATATAATAGCAGAGTTGGTGATTAAAGAAATAAAATGGTATGAATTTTTCTTACATTTTAAGCTCAAGACGTTCAACTTTAATAAGAAATGGCATACGTGGTATTCCGCATGTATGCTGCTGAGCACATCCAGGTCTGCTTGGGTTTTCTTCACCTTCGTTGGTTATCTTACATTTGACTATGACTGTCATGTTCCGAACTTTGTCCTTTGAACGTTCTGAAAACAGAAGGCAAAGCCCGCCTTCATTACGCCACGAAATTGAGGCAGCCACCTTACTTACACTAACCTTGTTGTGGTTTGGGTATATGGACCTAAATTTGAAATAATTTCAAGAACAGCTAGTCCATAAACCGGCGCCATATATGTTATAACCCCAAACAAAGGATTCAAGAAACTGCAAATGGCCTCTCAGCCAATCCTGATGTTAATTTATGATAATTAACTGATTACTCCCATCCCATGGATGTATCTGTTAAAATTAAAATACAAACCCCGTGAAGTTAAATATTAGATGTCCATTAATTCAAATAACTTCACCTCATAAGCAGTAAATCATGATTAATGTTCTATGTAGTACACAAATGTCAACTATATGATAGTCAAATTTTTGAAAGGCTTGAAAACTTTAGAAAAAAAAAAAAAGAAAAAACATCAAGTATCACCAAGTGTGCTCTAATAAATGTATGTCAGAAAGATGAAATTCCAATGACCAACAAACTGTGAAAAGGCCCCCAGAACAGGCTAAGGTCCATAATCTGCAATAAACAATAACAATCTGAATCAGCTGATTGATAGCATAACACCTCACAAGGAATCAAGCAATAGAGAAGAGAACATGTACTCACCATGGATAGCAACATTGATAGCATAACCTTGGTCGAAATGCAACAAGTTTTTCATAAATAACTCTATAAAGCATACAATTCTTGCAAGAAAAGAATTTGAATCCTATTGCTGCCTTCATGTCCTGCAAAATTGTGGTAAAAAGAGATCCATCATGCAAAGAAAGATAATATTACATAAATGCAAACAGAATGCAGATGGTTCCTCTTACCTATCATAAATTAGCATTTAGCGGAACTCATCATGGTATTCATAGTCATCTTCATCTTCATCATCATTGAAGATGGCACTATAAAATACATATGGGCTGTCAATCATCTCAACTAAGGATAAGCGACCATCTTTATCTGAATCCGCCTGCAATTATGTTAACAAAATGTTCATAATGGAGATTCCTTTTTTCTTTTGGTACATATAAGGAAGTCCAAGGGGGAGAGGGCATTCAAACCCTGGACTTTATTCATTTCTTTTCTCAAAAGGGTTGTAGCAACTATGACTTTCAAGAAAATCATTTCCTTATGCAAGACCATTAATCCAATAAGAAGACCATAATATGTACAGAATTCAATCATAAAAAATGAGAAGGAGAAGAAGAATAATAAGTCAATAATGGTAGCAATCCAGTTATCCCCTTCAACATACATGCAAACATTAGCATGATATAATATAATATTTCAAAGACTTGGAAAATGGGCATGGATGAGAAAGAGGCAGTACTTATTGTATAGCTTGCCTTAAAACATTTTCAATGAGGGAAGTCATAATAATTTGATTCATGCAGAGTGAATTATAATACAACCATAGCAAGGGAATTGGCATAATGCCCAAAAGATAATAGTAAAAATTCTTGCACTGTTGGTATTAGGTTTCCTTAGCTATGGTATGGAAAACCATAATATTTAACTATTAAAATAATAACGACAATAATGGTCTTAGTATTAAGACTCACTCCATCTCATAATGAATGATACTTTTCAAAATGCACAAATTCTAAGAATGCATGAATGCATTACTGTTTCTAGAGGCTATCCCTTTCCAGCAGGTATTACTTCGTCCTGTTTTAAAACATAGCCTTATGTTGAGCATAAAGCATTTAATCTTTTCAGTTTAGGTAAAGTTCACTTAGGCTGTCCTTGAAAAGGAAGGGAAACGGTATCAATGATCATTACTAATTATCAATAGTCATATCAGTTTACCTGTGATATGATGTAATCCGCTTGTTGTTTGGCATAGTACCGTTCTGATGGGTGAAGTTTCCCAATTATTGGTAGCAGCTCTTCATCCGACAAGAATCTGATAACAGGAAGCACCATAAATTTATTTAACCATCCAAAAATGAAGTTCTCAATTCAACCATGATAATAAACATCAAAAAGTTCATAAAAATACCTATCACCATCTTTGTCAAGCTGGCTAAACAACCGTTTTGCTGGTGCCTCCATTGAGTCATCAGATGGATGGGAAGAGTTATGACCTTCTTCATCATAGTTTCTTACCAAGTCAAATAGCCCATGGAAAAATTCATTAAAGCTAACCTTCCCATCTTTGTCCGTATCTCTTTCCCTAAAAAGGAAAAAGAAGATGCAACATAACTAGTAATGTAAGGCAATAGTAGAAAATGTTGATCGACTGCAAATGGATAACATGGCCAAAAATGTGGAACTGGTTTTTCTTATTTCTTGCACTCAAGATATATAACTTAAGCATTAGTTTGTTAATTTTTATTAGGACAGATATAAATACAATTTTCACAGGCAAAAAGAGAAAGAAAAGGAAAATTAAAACTCAGGTTACCTGACTTCCTCCTTGCACAACCATCTAAGCAGCTTTGAGTTTTTGCTGTCAGCTGGGTGCAGAAAGCTAGAAGAACAGTAACAGAAAAATTAAGGGAGAGCAATAGCAGCGAATGAAAATAACCACTTTGACTGGGGATGAATCAATTGAAACTCATTGTAGAATTTGGTACTTACTCATTGAACTCAGTTATATTCAATAAACCATCACCATCTGCATCTGATGCATTAAAATGTTCCTCTTTCCACCAGCCCATATCATAGCCAAAAGAAGTGTTATCTAGAATAGGAAAAAAAAAATCAGTTAGCAACTCTTAGATTATTATCTGGAAAATTAAACAGAAATCAATTACCAAATCTAAGTTTCATACTATGGGGTCATAGTGGTCATGATTGAAAGCAAGATGAGATCCTAAAGAGAGTAAAATTGCTATAAAGGGTTACTCTATGCCTCTATCACAAAGAATATGATAAGTACTGACTTGTCACCCATGAAAGGAAAGAACAGATCATTGATGTTTTCCATGTTTTGGCTTAATGTCACTACATCTCTTGAAAAATTCGAAAACCACTTCAAAGGACGCTTTTGTCGATTCACAAAAGGGAATAGAAAGATAAACTGTTAAACAATATGAAGCAGCTAGTTTCTGTAATCCACAAAATGTGTATTAAAAACACCCATTAAACACCTCAAGCAAAATGATAATTTAGCTACAATAACAAACAGAATGCCAGATCACATAACAAAATAGACACAAAAGCACCAAGGATAGTTTCATAGATGAATTAAAAATTAGTTTTATTATGGTATAGATCACTGACCATTCTTCACCCAGCTGGGAGGCTCATACTCTTTATATGAAATTAACCCATCATGGTTTTTATCATGAATCTCCATCTCCCTCTGAGTCCTGTGCAAGACTTCCCTTGCAGCCTGCTGCAGGTTCCACTCAGTCAATTCGTTCTCAGTCACAAAACCATCTGCTGGGTCCACATCAATCTTGGGAAACAGCAATACCAACCTGTTCAATCCATTAAACCTCCACTCAATCAACATGTATCAAAATGTGATGCTCAAAATGCGTGGACAAGTATATAGATACAGGTGCTAGGTTTACATAAACTGCATCATGATGCAAATATCAGATACACAAATAGAATCAGTTTATAAACTGACAAAAAAAAACCAGCACGCATGTGTTACCAACCAAAATAATCACAAGGTACCCCTTGTACATGGCAAATATAAAACAATTCAGCATGCTCACATAACACACCTAGCATAATTTAGTGTAAACCGCACCAACAACTACAAAACTTTAACAATAATATATCCATCAGAAAATAAACTAGAACTAATCATGAACAATGATTATAAATAGATCTATTCTACAAATTAACACCTAGATGTAAGTGACACAGATATAAGAAGCATCAATGTGAACAAGTAAAGGCCGCTTAAAACAGTAGTAAATATTTAAGCATATTAATAGATGAAGCACGCATTTATAACTAAATTTGGCAACTAAAACACTAATTAAAGCTCCAAAATTTCAACCCTAACGAAAAAAGTAACATGAATTTAAAAGTAAATGCAATACCACCAACCTATCGGTAACATTGAACTTTTCCTCATCATTCAAGTAATCCTCACCGTTCATAAAATCCTCCCACTCGGGCTGCGACTCTTCAGCCGGTGCGGGGTCATGCGTAAACTCAGGATGGGAATGCTCGAAGTGCTGTTTCTCCCATTGGCGGTCTTCACGACGGCGCTCGATGTCCGCCACGAGTGGGTCAAAAGCCACCGGCTCGTGGCGGGTGGGGTTGCCGAAGTTGTAGGAACTTCGGAGCTTGAGGCGGCGATAGCGGTTGTGGCTGGAGTGTTTCTTCGGGGAATAGGAGATTAGGAAGAGGATTAGAAGCGCCACGGTGATGTACACAATGGCTGAAACTTTTCCCATTTGTGGGAAGTACCCAAAAGTTGATAGAGAAGAGAGAGATCTATGAGAATCTGAAAAGGGTCATGAAAAGATTGGGTTAAGGAAAGAGAAGAGATCTAACCCAAAAGCAGTCAAAAATAGAGAATTGCAGGGAAAGAAAAAGAAGGGCTTAGAGTTTAGAGAGGTTTTGAAGGATTTGGACTAACAATGGAAAACCAAGTGACGGCTTTCTGGGAGTCTCCTTTGAGATCTGTTACTGTTAATCATCATGACTTATTATATCTTATTGCACCCTCTAATTACGCAATTTCATGACTTCCTTTCTTTATTCCAAATATTACTACTTGAACTAATAAATAAGAGTTGGATAACATTTATTACACATTAATTTTAGATTTGATGCAATAAAAGAATATATAATATATATTATTTTAATTGATTTTAAATTTATTTTTTAACCAAATTATTAGTAGTGAATTAAATATAAACTTTTAAACAATTAGATCATGGTTTTTTTTTTTCAATATTAACATTGCAAGTCAAAACATACAACCGGGTAACATGGTATTAATTAATTAATTAAAGTACTCCTCAAATCACGATTAACTCTAGTTACTATATGGCTTTTCTTTGTAATAACAATGCTTGATGGGCCTAAAAACTAGTCCAAATAGATGTGCATCTCCGGCCTGCTGCTGGCGGCCCAACTCACGGAAAAGCCCAACATTGTTCTTACCGTCTTTTGCAAAATACTAGAATTACAAAACATACAATCATCGTCACTACATCTGTTTTAGTCTGTCTGAAGTTTGGCAGGGTGGTGGTTTCAGTGTTGTTCTAGGTATTAACGAATCGGAACCTGTTTGAACCGAACATGTGTTTCCATATGTATGAAAGCAAAACGGTCTCAACTCTTCCTCGGTCATATAGCTGGGATTTGTGGTTACTTTTACATATTTATCATAGTCTTCCTACATTCCTACATGTGCTTGCAATTGTACGACGGAGTAACGCTCAAAGAGCACTAAGAATAATTGTTTTTTTATTCTTATTTTAATACAATTTTTTTATTTTTTTAAGAAAATAATAAAATGTAAGTAGATTAAATAATGTTGTAATAATTACTCTGAAAAATAATTGTCTTCCATCATACAAATATCTAATTGTGGCGGGTAAGTAGATGCTTTTGCTTTCTTAAACTCTAATGAACAATGATTATAAGTAAACATCGTTATAATGACGTTATTCTTAATCTCTAATCAAAATATATTTGTAGTAAAAGATGCATTCTTACTTAATTTTGACACTTTTTAAGAGTTTTTTTCTTTCTTTTTATAGACGGTTTAAATCTTTAAATAGAAGTATGAGTATATAATTTATGTTTTACTTGTCTTGTAGCAGGTCTTATATTTTCAATAAAATTTTAAAAAATAAGATCACATTTATATTCTATTACATTTTTTTTAAAAAAAAAAAAGATTTATTTTGTAATTTGTGGATGTTTCATGGGTTAAAAGAAATTTTATCTTTGTACATTAGTCATGCTAAAAGAAGCAATAATTATGGAATTGAATTAAAGTTGTTCTTGCAAAAAGAGAATGTGTTTGAAATTTTCATTCTCAATTTAACTAATTGGATAAAAAACTACATAACACTTAAATAAAGTTTTAAATTATTTATAAAAATTTAAATAAGTCATTAATTTTTTATTACATTCAATAAAATCTTTACATTTTTATTATGAATTAAATAAGTCTTTATAAGTAATAATTAATTAATTATGTTAATTAAATTGTCACTTATTATTTTATATTGTGTACTGTTAATATGACTTGCTGATTACTTAACATTTTCACTTTCTAAGTCAATCGTACATGAATATAAAGAAAGTAACATTTTAATTAATTATAATTAATTATTAATTATAAATATTTATTTAATTTAAAATAATAATATAAAAATTAGATTAAATACAATGAAAAACAAAATTTTATTTAAATTTGTTTAAATAATTCAAAAATTTTGAAAACATTATATAAAAAACCTTCTAACTCGTTCATCCTTAACTGAGTCAATTCATGGATTCTTCATTCTGATGTAGGCAATTTAATATATGGTGTTAGCGCATTTATAGCACTGGCAGTCTACTGCTTAGTTTAGTATGAAAGAGGTTTCTGCCTTTTTTTCTTTTTATTCTATTTATTCCAATACTTTTTTGAGAAAGAAAGAAAATGACGTCATTCAAATGGTTCCATATAGAAATTTGTTTTCAAAGTTAATAATGATCAATCATTATAAATTAAAAAAAAAAAAAAGACATTCGGGACCCAAATTGATGTATCGTCAATGCCAAATGATCTGTAACTAGAATGTTTTGCATCACAAAAATTGGAAATTAATGGTTGATCATAATTCCATCAAATTTACTGAACCAAAGAATCTCATCTGACCTTTGACTACTCTACTCAAAGCCAAGAGAGGACAAGTGCTTCTCCCCACAACTTACCAAGTCAGAATCTTTCTCTAAAAGACTAATAATTAAGAAGTTACTTCAATATATTAGGGAAAAATAGTCTGCTTTGTTCTTTTGATTGAAACTTAAATAGTTCGACTTTTAATGGAAGAGAAATTCATCTGTGGTAAGTTTCGGACAGCGTATGAATGCAACCGAGGGTTCAAAAGGTAAAGCAAAACCCCAAATTGGGTGAAGAAGGGCGGAGGTGGAAGCGCAATAAATTGCAATTATTAAAACCATGGGGCCACAGACCATGTGCTTTGTTAGACTCGTGAACTTTGACCTTTTGCCGACGTGGCAATATACGCTTGGTTTTAATTTCATTACTTGTCCAACTTGCACATTGTATGTATCTAGATTTTATCCAAAATATAATAAAGGTTAATGCCAAAAGCATCGGTTTACTATGTCAGAAATTCCAAATTAAGCATCCAAAAACAGGGAAAAAAAAGAGGGGAAAATCTCAACTCAAATTCTATTAGTAAAACAGTAAAATTATCCATATTTCCTATTGAAATTAAGAGCCCGTTTAGTAATTGAAAAATAATTTATTAGAAAAAAATTTTAAATATAAAATACTTTATAAAAAATTTTAATTTTTTTATTATTTAAATAAATAATCAAAAATATTTTATATTGTTTAGATTATCCTACAAAAAAATTTTTTATATATATTACGTTATTTGGATGTTAAAATAATAAATAAGAATTGATTACAAAGTAATGGTATCATTTGATTTTCACTAATTTGATTTCAAAATAAAAAATATACATGAAAATTGATAAAATCGATAATAATATTTTTTAAAACATTTAACCAGGTATTTATAAATTTAACTATATATATAAAAAGAAACTTTTAATATCTTATTTTTGCACCACTTGGAGTGATATTTTTGTGGTGTTTGAAACTCTACTTTATTGACATGTGGTATGATTGAGTTTAGAGGTTTTTAGATATGGGTTGAGTCTTTTTGATCTTACATTTTAAATATGTGGGTTTGAAATCTTGTCTATTTCACTTTTGAATTCATCTATTTTTTAGTATAATAACCATTACCATCTCTGTTTCTTTTATTAATTCTATCACAGTTTATGAATCTCTCTATCAATTTCGTTCACTTATTTTCAACTATAAAGTTTCAAACAATGGATTATATCTTTACCTTTTGTCTCAATCTATTTTTTTTAAGTTGAGGATAGACCATTTTTGCTCTCTATTATTAGTGATCATCTACACTGTATAATGTTGGTGTATTTTCAAAATCAAATATTATGTCATATGATGAAAAACTATCTTAGTTCAAAAGTTATGTCACATAAAGTGATATAATGTATCTATTGAATTATAAACATGTTTTTAATGTGAATAATTATGTCTTTTGGTAAAATAACATCAAAAAAGTTATGAAACATATTGAAAAGACACCATAGTTCAAAAGTTAGATATGAAAAATCATTATTTAAAATTATAACTCAAAAGTTATAATTTATAAAATGAATAGTTATTTTTTCATAAGATGATTATTGAAACAAAAACTTTATTTAAAAATTGTGCTTGGCAAAATAAAAAATTACCGTATAGACAAAATGATGCCTTAATGAAAAGATTGTATCCTAAAAGAAGAAAACACTTACAAGCAATGGCTTGTTGCCAACTATTTTGATATATCAAAGCAAATATAAAAACAAGAACATAAATATCAAGAGCAAGAAAACTGTTGTGTTCTAATAATACAAACACTTAAGTTCCTATCAACTACAAGAGATTTTAAATTCCTTATAATCTACTTGTCGTAGAAAGTAAGTTCTAAGGCCAAACAACTTTACAAACTTTCTAGTGTATCTAGCGGTTTACTCTCGTTAAGTGTAAGACGAAATTAAACGTTGACTTTATTATATTCTTAAGGTTATTCGTATTATTTCTTTTTGCATACCAAGTGGTGGGGAGGTGAAATAAATCTTAAAGATAACGTCTATTTAAAAGCTCGATTTAAACTCAATTTTGCCAATTTCTTGAATTCTATTGAAACCCCATTTGTATCAACATATAAAACCTCAATGTTTTTTTAAGATAAATTGTCTTTCTTTGAATGAAAAATAGTTTACAATAATTAAGTTCTTTAGATCAAATTAACAAGTATTTATAGATACCAGTTAAGTATGCTAATATCTAAGTATTTTATTTAAACATTAGTCCAATATAATCATTCATACAATGCTTAACTACAATTTATAATTAAAGTAAGATTTAATTTTTAAAAAATTTCTATTATATCACTTTTTTACCATGATAATAAAAATATTTATATTTATCAATTATGTAAAACATCTAAAATTTATATTCATATGTATTCATTATAAAAATATCAATATTTATGAATAATGCAAGACATTCAAAAGCTATACTTAAAAATTGTTATCATATCACTAAAATTTTTTATTATAATTATTAGTAAAATTTATTCAATTTATAAATAAAAAATTTAATTACATTGAATAATTTATTAAAAAATATTTTTTAATTTTAATAATATTGAATAATATTAAATAATAATATTTTAAATTAAAAATTAAATATTAATATTCATCAAATCTATAAGCTTATATTTAGTATAAGATTTTTTTTTATGTTCTTTGAAATTATTTAAGTCTCCCCGAAGTAAAACATTTTCTGTGATTAATGACTATTTTACCCATTTACTCATAAAATATTTTAATTGTAAAATAAATATTTTATCTTTCAAAT